ATATTCTTTTGGAATTGATCATTGTCACTAGAGTCAATAGTAAACTACTACAGACTTTTGGCATTTCAAGGTCCGTTATTTCAGTAATAAATTTAAACCCCGTAAGTGCCAAATACTGTTTAAGAAACTCAACTAAAAAATGTTCTATTAACTGTTCCTCCTTTTTACCTTTTGTCTTCACCTGTAACAAGGAAACTATGCAATCCTAAAAGAGGCCCTGTCATTATTAGACAGTGGTCTCAGTGGCCTTCTGCAGCACTAAGCAGAACGTCTGAAACCTCAACAAGGACTTAGTGCTGAGAAATCATTGCTAAGTAGTTGCTATAGGTTACATTTACATTAGTACTTAACCACTTGCCACCCTAAGGCTGTTAATAACCGGCCTGCATTTTAAGTGGTTAAAGCAAGCTCATGGCCGCAGCTGAAGCCATGATCTTGGTACTGTTTTTTTTTTTTTCAGCTGGCACCTGGCTTTTTAGTAAAAGTGGTCTGGCAGGTTTCAGAGCTTTCTTTTTCAATTCATTCCTTCCCTGGCTCATGTAGCCAGAGAATCAGCAAATAAAGCACTATATGCATTTGTCTAGCTGCAGCAGAGGGCAAGGGAGACATTTGGGATCTATTAACCACTTGCCGTCCGCCTGCTGTTTATAAACGGCAGGGCGGTGGCACTCCAGGGGTGGGTTGCCATTCATAAACGGCACCCGCCTTTTCTAGCTGTGCACGCTCCCTGGGAGTGCGCAGCACCCGCGATCCGGTGCCCGCTGTGTCCTCCAGACACAGTGAAACACCGATCGTCGGACGGGACCTCTGTACGAGGTCCCGATCATGTGATCACTGATTGGCCAATCAGTGATCACATGCAAAGTAGTAAGCAAGATGTCACTTGTGACATCATTGCTTACTTACGTGTGAAATCTGTGAATGATCACAGAGGTCACATAGTACAAGGCTATTCACAACAGCCTTGTACCATTTGACAAGCTGTGACCAATCACAGCTCACTCAGTACTCTCAATGACTGCAAGAATGCAGACAGAGAGAAAGAGAAATGATTGCTTTTACATCCTATATGGGTGTAAAAGCAATCAGTGTAAAAAAAAAAAAAAAAATCTTCATCACCCCCCACAAGTAGTACAGTGTTACCATGGTGACACTGTACTGCTAGGGTGACAGTATGTAAAAAAAATTAATAAATAAAAAATAAATATAAAAAAATAAAATAAAAATGTAAAAAAAAATGTTTAAAAATTATAATTTTTGGTTATAAACTGGATTTTTTTTTTTTACTAAAAAAATAACGGAATAAATTTTGGCCAAGATTTATGATGAAATATCATTTATTTGCAAAATTTTATAAAAAAAAAACTTTTTTTCAAAATTTTTGGACTTTTTCATTTACATAGCAAAAAAAATTAAAATCCCAGCGGTGAATAAATACCACCCAAAATAAAGCTTTATCTGTCTCAAAAAAATGGTAAAAAATTCATATGGGTACAGTGTTGCATGACCGCGCAATTGTCATTCAAAGTGTGATAGCGCTGAAAGCTAAAAATTGCCCTGGACAGGAAGGGGGTGAAAGTGTCCGGTCTGGAAGTGATTAAGCCATCTGATGTCTCAGTAGAAACAATTGGCCTGTGCTATCACATTAGGGGCTTGTTAACCTACTTCTGATAGCAATAAAGTTGAATTAAAATAAAAAAATAAACCTGTTTAAAAAATTTAATTTTAATTAAATAAAAATAAATAAATAAAAGAAACTCCATTGCCCTGTACACATACAAATGGAGTGAGTGCAATAACTAGGGCTGTCTTTCATAGATAGTTCTAAATTGATAATCTGTGAAGACTTTTAAAGTGTCGCCTAAGAACATTTTTTTTATACTTTCGCCTTTTGCCATTTCTTGGGCACATGCAATTTTTAAGCATGGCATGTTTGGTATCTATTTACTTAGAAAAAACCCATCTTTTATATTTTACCAAAAACTTGTATTTTGTTGTGCTCCTGTGCACTAAAATTAATTTTGGTTTGATTTTCCCCGTAAATATATTTTTATTGTAGAAACATTGTGTGACTTAAAAATTTGTATATGCCACCATTTTATTGGTAACTGGACCTCTGCTTTCATAAAATTTTTATTTCAGTGCCTTGAAAAAGTATTCATACCCTTTTAAATTTTCCACATTTTGTCATGTTACAACCAAAAATGTAAATGTATTTTATTGGGATTTTATATGATAGATCAACACAAAGTAGCACATAATTGTGAAGTGAAAGAAAAAAGATAAATTGTTTTCAACATTTTTCTACAAATAAATATCTGAAAAGTGTGGCGTACATTTGTATTCAGCCCCCAATTCTTTGTAGAACCCCCTTTCGCTACAATTAGAGCTGCAAGTCTTTTTGGGGATGTCTCTACCAGCTTTGCACATCTAGAGAGTGAAATTTTTGCCCATTCTTCTTTGCAAAATAGCTCAAGCTCTGTCAGATTAGAGGTAGAGCATCTGTGAACAGCAATCAATTTTCAAATCTTGTCAGATTCTCAGGTCTGGACTGTGACTGGGCCATTCTAACACATGAATATGCTTTGATCTAAACCATTCCATTGTAGATCTGGCTGTATGTTTAGAGTCATTGTCTTGCTGGAAGGTGAACCTCCGCCCCGGTCTCAAGTCTTTTGCAGAGTCTAACAGGTTTTCTTCTAAGATTGCCCGGTATTTGACTCCATCCATCTTCCCATGAACTCTGACCAGCTTCCCTGTCCCTGCTGAAGAAAAGCATCCCCACAACATGGTGCTGCCACCACCCATGGTTCACGGTGGGGATAGTGTGTTCACAGGTTTTCTTCTAAGATTGCCCTGTATTTGACTCCATCCATCTTCCCATGAACTCTGGCCAGCTTCCCTGTCCCTGCTGAAGAAAATCATCCCCACAACATGGTGCTGCCACCACCATGGTTCACGGTGGGGATAGTGTGTTCAGTTAAATTTTGGTCTCATCTGACCAGAGCACCTTCTTCCACATATTTGCAGTGTCCCCCCACATGGCTTCTCACAAACTGCAAACAGGACTTCTTATGGCTTCTTCCAACAATGGCTTCCACAAAGGCCAGATTTGTCCTGTGGACAGATACTCCCACTTGAGCTGTGGATCTCTACAGTTCCTCTAGAGTTCCCATGGGCCTCTTGGCTGCTTCACTGATTAATGCTCTCCTTGCCCAGCCTGTCACTTTAGCTGGATGACCATGTCTTGGTAGGTTTGCAGTTGTGCCATACTCTTTCCATTTTCGGATGATGGATTGAACAGTGCTCCGTGAGATGTTCAAAGCTTCAAATATTTTATTATAACTTAGCCCTGCCTCTGAGGGCTTCACAGAACAGCTGTATTTATACTGAGATTAAATTACACACAGGTAGACTCTTATTTACTAATTAGGTGACTTCTAGATTTCAGTTAGGGGTATCAGAGTAAAGGGGGCTGAATACAAATGCACGCCACACTTTTCAGATACCTGTTTGTAAAAAATTTTGAAAACCATGTATCATTTTCCTTCCACTTCACAACTATGTGCCACTTTGTGTTCATCGATCACATAAAATCACCAATAAAATACATTAACGTTTTTTGGTTGTAAGATGACAAAATATGGAAAATTTCAAGGGGTATGGTTACTTTTTCAAGGCACTGTAGTTGAACACATATATGACATAACTGGATAGATTTACTAAAAGTGTTGCACTCAGAATCCAATGCAGCTGTGCATGGTAGCCAATCAGCTTCCAACTTCAGCTTGTTCAATTAAGCTTTGGCAATAAAATCTGGAAGCTGATTGGTTTCTGTGCAGAGTTACACCAGATTTTGCACTCTCCAGTTTTTAGTAAGTAACTCCTAATGACACACAGACATAAGACTGTAGAGGTTGTTCAGTTAGTAAAGTGATTGTTTGTAATAAGTTGAAGCAATGTTCATCTTCAATACCCAATGATATGCTAGCAAAAAAAATATTTTTTCAGTTTAGCTTATTCATCATTATTCTCATTTCAAAGTTCACATACATTTGCACACAGAAAATTCAGTCTGCGGTGAATAGCCTTTACTCTGTTAGGAAATCAGTCCCACTGTGTATAAGTGGGAAAAGAAAAAAAATTGTATGAAATAACTACTTACCGTATTTTTCGCCATATAAGACGCACCTGACCATAAGACGCACCTAGGTTTTAGAGGCAGAAAACAGGAAAAAATTCTGAACTAATGGACTGCAGACACAGTACAGGAGATGACCAGAGACTGCGGACAGCACAGGGATGACCAGAGACTGCGGACAGCACAGGGATGACCAGAGACTGCGGACACAGTACAGGGATGACCAGAGACTGCGGACAGCACAGGGATGACCAGAGACTGCGGACAGCACAGGGATGACCAGAGACTGCGGACACAGTACAGGGATGACCAGAGACTGCAGACAGCACAGGGATGACCAGAGACTGCAGACAGCACAGGGATGACCAGAGACTGCAGACAGCACAGGGATGACCAGAGACTGCAGACAGCACAGGGATGACCAGAGACTGCAGACAGCACAGGGATGACCAGAGACTGCGGACAGCACAGAGATGACCAGAGACTGTGGACAGTACAGATGACTGCTGACCTTTGGGGAGGTGGGGAGCGGGTACCTGAATTTGACAGGTACCCGCTCTTACTTCTGCAGAGTTTTTGTTTGATCTTACCTGTTCCTCGATCCAGCCGCGCGCTGTCTTCCCGGCTTCTGTAATGGCGCTCGGCATGACAGCCGGGTGCCCAGTGCGCATGAGCGAGAAGCACTTGCGCTTTGTGATTGGTCCGGCGGCTTCTGGGATCTGTCATGTGTCCCAGGTACCGCCTTACCATTCACAAAAAGCACCGCTTCTTGCGCATGCGCACTTGGCACCCGGCTGTCATGCCCAGTGCCCACACTACAGAAGCCGGGAAGACAGCACGCCACTGGATAGAGGAACAGGTAAGGTCCCGCTGCAGAGCTGAGCGGCCGGCCCGTATTCTGACACGGCCGCGGTGGAAATACCGGACCGGCCGCTCCATATTCGCTCTATAAGACGCACTGACATTTCCCCCCCAGTTTTGGGGAAGAAAAAGTGCGTCTTATACGGCGAAAAATACGGTATATGTGACACAGTTTTTCACAATAACAGCATGTGACACCTAAGGTGAAAGCTTAATTGTCTTGGCCATGTTCAAAATGTTGAAATATGAATTTGTAATAAAAGTCTTGCCCAGCCCACAACAATTACCATGAATGTTTTTGGCATAAATAGACAATAACTAAATCAACATAAGTAAAAGGACCCAAGTTTTACTTTTGCAGTCATTTAGGGAAAGAGAAAATTCAGAGCCTTTGTACCAGGTGCATGGGATAGTCATTGTCTTCCATCAAAGAATTTGTTGTCCCTAATTCTTTTTTTCCTGTAGTTATATAGTCCCTAAGCTGCTTCAACAGTGTCGCAATTTCATCAGCATCCCAGGCTCATTATCCATGGTTCATCACTTACAAAGCATATCTAGAAAATTTTACTTTGTGACTTAAGATGTTTCCAAGATTTTAATCCACTCACTCATCATGTCTCAGCTAGACTTTGCAGCCTCCGCCAAACTGGCATCATATTAAGCTGTCTACTCTGTCTCCAACCCACTGAAGACAGAAAAATAAGTCTTACCCAGTTCTCTCAATGTTCTTCATAAGCCTTTTGAATTTACAGACTTTTTCCATTTCCATAGAAAGTGAACAAAATACCGAGGGATAATTCAGTATTGTTTAACTAAAAAAATTATTTCATAGTGAAGCTCTTTTACCAAATATGTAAACATCATTTTATTCATTTGTGACTATGGCATTATTATTATTATACAATATTTATATAGCGCCAAAGGGTTTGCTCAGCGCTGTACAGTAAGGGGGACAGAAATGAGACAAACAGTAACAATACAATACACGAGGGGTTAGAGGGCCCTGCTCTTTCGAGCTTACAATCTAGGAGGGAGGGGATAGTGTAAGGAGGAAGTGGCTGTGGGGGATGGAGTTGTAGGAGGAGATAGGCTGTTAGGTGAGGGCGGGGTTGGCTTCCCTGAAGAGATGGGTTTTCAGGGTGCGCCTAAAGGTGAGGATAGGTGACAGTATGATGGATTGTAGTGAGTTCTCAGAGGATGGAGGAAGTCCTGGAGAAGTAGTGGGGGGAGTACATGAGACAGTAGGAGGTCAGTGAGGAGCGAATACGGGTTGGGTGGTACATCAGGGGGTTGTTACGAGGTCCCTGCTGGTGCCTCTGGCAGCCCACTAGGCAGGATCTACCCAGAGCGTGGGTCTAAGTCCCGGTCTGCGAGTTCACCAGGGCACCTGATGGTGGGGATGGATTGAGCAGACCAGGACCAGGCAACGACCTCCGAGCAATCCCACCCGTGGCTGAGGGAACCTCCGGGATGGATACAGGAGGAGGCGAGCCAGATGGAGAAGGCCGGCAGGCCCAGGAAGGATGGATGGGTTTTCAGGATCGTGGTCAAACTAGCCAAAGTCACCGTGGGGGCAGCGAGGGTACAGAAACGGAGGCAAAGGATAGTCAGGTCACATGGGTCAGTATAGGGTGGTCAGTCCGCAGAGAGGTCCAGAGGATGGGGGAAGGACAGGAGAAGGCAGCTAGTCAGAGCAATCGGGTCAATATCAGAAGAAGGCAGCGTGTCAGGGCAATCCGGGTCTATAATGGTACAGGCACAGAAAGGAACTAGGTACAGAGAGACCTTGCGGCAATTCATTACAGCGCAGGGCATCTTTAAATACCGCGCCCTGCGCTGTCATTGGCCGCCCAGCAGGGACTCACGGCGCCTACTGCGCATGCGCGAGTCTCCTCAGCCGCGGCCGGCCGGGACCTAGTGCCCGTATCCCGGCGAAGATTACAAGGGCGCATGCGGTGGGCGCGATGCTGCGGTGGACCCTGACAGGACGGTTAGGTAGTTTGGGGCAGCGTTATGAATGGCTTTCTATGTCTGTGTTAGTATTTTGAATTTAATGCGTTGGGCAATCGGGAGCCAGTGGAGGGAATGACAGAGGGGGGTGGCAGAAGCGGAGCGGTTGGTAAGGTGGATGAGTCTGGCCGCTGAGTTCAGGATAGACTGAAGCGGGGATAGTCTGCGACGAGGTAGGCCGGAGAGAGAGAGGGAGTTGCAGTAGTCCAGACGTGAGATAATAAGGGAGTGAACGAGTAGTTTAGTAGTGTCTGGGGTTAGGAACGAACGTATTGTGTACAGGTTTGGATGTACATTATAATTTGGTTTACAAAAAAATTGGGAAATACGAATAATCTAGTTTTGTGTAGCTGATATGCAAGTAAAACAGATTATCTTATAGCTGAAAGATGTATGTCTGCACTTGGAAAGCATGTGCTTGATTAGGATGTCTAATTTCTCTCAAATTATTAGTATTATTTTACAGCCTATAAGATGGAAAACCCCTGTACTCTGTGCACTATAATAATTTCCACTCAGCTGTCTGCAGTAAGACGTAAGGCAACTCCGTGGGTTCTACTGTCGCAAACGTGCGCGCCAGAGACTGACGCAGTCTGCCATTTTGTTAAGAGTAGCATGTTATTCCCTCATTCTCCTTCCCCCTCCCTTCCTGAGAGGCACAGTGACAGATGTGTGTGTGTACTGTTTATGGGTCACTGGCCGGCCAAAGCATTTCTAGCTAGGTGCCGAGCTGTCTGTGAAAGCTGTATCCTTTCTCACCTAGGAAGAGATAGGACAGCTTTCCAAGAGAGCTGGAGTCTCACTGGCCAAAGTACCTGTGTAATTTCACGCCTCGTGAAAGGATAGCAGAGCCTTCCCAGGAGTTGAAGGGGACTCTGAGCTAATAAACCTAGCTCAGTGTAGGTGACAGAATTGATGAACACTTCTCAAATCAATTTTTCCCCTATGTCTCATATCTTGGAATATGAGAGACTTACATAAAAACCGGACACCTCGTCAGATGGCCAATGAGCAGGCGAACAGTTTGATGGGTCACTCACTTATTTCGGACCCTCAGGGAAGCCGAAACATAAAACTCATGAACTGTGCAATATATAATTTCATAATTCATATCTAAATAATCCTCAGACTTGTCTGCATAATAATATACCTGCGGGGGGACTGTCGCTTGTGCAGATGGAAAGTTATGGACCAGAATATGAATTAGGAAAGATGTGGGGTTTCGCCTGATGATCCCTCCCTAAACAGGGGATTGGCCTTTTACTTCAGAACCACCCCCTGCTGGGGAACTTTAAAGCAGTCTGTCAAGCCTAAGAGTAGGAAGTTTTGAAGACATCTCCCATTCTTAACATCAATATACCACCTGGGGAGACCTGTGTGCCTTGCGCTCTGAAACGTGATCTGCTTCCATCCAAGACTTAATGGCAAGTAACTTAACCCTTTAACTATATATATATAGAAAACAGCACAGCAAAGAGATAACAGGGAGAAGTTAAAGGGTTAAGTTACTTGCCATTAAGTCTTGGATGGAAGCAGATCATGTTTCAGAGCGCAAGGCACAGGTCTCCCCAGGTGGTATAGTGATGTTAAGAATGGGAGATGTCTTCAAAACTTCCTACTCTTCTTCTACTTCTCTGTAAAAATATTTACAGAGAAGATGTAACTAAGATATATATATATATATCTTAGTTACATCTTCTCTGTAAATATTTTTATTGCACCTGTTTTACCTTTTAGTAATAAATCTCTCTTTCTGAAAGTGTTGAACTGTTTCTATAGCTCTTAATTGCAATTTACGAATCCCTGCCTTTAAAAGACGCTACTGTTTGTTTTAACCCTCTGTATAACAGGCCTGTATTATGACCAGGGTATGCAGTTGATTATATCAACCATTATAGTGTTAGAGCTGAGTGCTGAGTTTCCTCTTTCTCTGATCAAAAAGGAGGTGGTGGCATTGTGAAGGGGTTAATTGCGTAATTAACCTGACCCAGTAACAATCGATTCAGGCTGCTGGCACATTGGTCGGTATCCATTAGCTGGAAAATCGAAAATCGTTGTGCAGGGTGCAGCTGGGTGTGTGCATTGTTACGCACGTCACATCGCGGTTGTAGATCGGTTAGCCCTTCGGTCAGGAGTTTGGTGAGAAGGTCTGGGGTCTGACACCACGATTGTGACACCTAGAGCTTCTTTAGATGGTGGCTATTTTCAGTTCTTCACAGTCCAACCCTGGAATCCCAATTTTTTTTTTGGGGTTAAAAAGAAAACCCTTAAAATAATTCTTCACTAAAATATTTAAGGGATATCATAGCAGAGTCATTCACATGACCCAATCCTCGTGATTAGTGTTGTTCACTATGGTAGGCCACTAAACACTCTTTTAATGCAGTGAAACTATAAAAAGTTAATTGACACGATAAATAAACTTGAGTTCATACATTATTTTACTTTAAAACTATTTCTTTAAAACTTGCTTCTCTCATGCCCTGCAACTCGTCATTCCTTATCGTCTTCTATTACTGGATAACTTATACTTCTCCTCCTTATTCATCACCTCTTCACAGTGTGCTTCCACCCACAACACTTTTGAAAACCACTTTCTTTGCCTTTTCCTGCTGATTTAAGTCCTTCTTCTACTTTAAGATGTTTTGAAAAGTAGCCAAATCCATATCTAAGAAAATCAGTCAATAGCAGCCAGGGTGGATTTGATGTAAATCAAACTGATTTAAATCACAATTTAAATCACTAGTCAGTAAGGCTGGATGTAAATCCTAGTTTTCTACATAAAGACTAATTCTTGCTGGTATAACTTTAATATACAAGTAGATGAAGATTTTTAGAATAACAACTTTTCATATTAGTTTTTTTATCCCCAGTTTAATAGGTTAATCATTCATATTTGGACAACTTTTCTGTTGTACTTAGGAAGGAGAAAAATAATCATTACCTTAATAATAACAATTTAAATAGATTTATTCAACTGAAACAATAACATTCCAGCATATGTTCTTTGC